TTAGCCCGGCTGCCATCAGCTCTGTACTCATCCGGCAAGAGGATGTCATCCAACATGCCATCTTCTATGTTAGCAAGACCCTCAGGGAAGCGGAACTCCGGTACTCCCCCGTGGAAAAAACGGTGTTGGCTATCGTGTGGACCGTCAAGAAGTTGGGCCATTACTTCCAGGCTCACCCGGTCCAGGTCCTCACTCACCAACCCCTCGGCGCCTTGATGAGGAGCCCCACTAGCTCCTCCCGAATGATAAAATGGGTTCTCTTCTTGAGCCAATACAACATCGACATCCGACCTAGGCCCGCCATCAAGGGCCAAGCCCTAGCGGACTTCGTGACGGAGTGTATGGCAAGGGCAACCACGGACGAGGAGCCCTCGGCCCCTTCGGATGATTGGTGGACCCTCTACACCGACGGCTCCTCCGCCATCAAGGCATGCGGAGGAGGGGTGGTTCTCATCTCACTCGAGGGCTTCCGGGCCTATTATGCAGTCCGCTTCTCCTTCAAAGTCTCCAACAATGAAGCCGAATACGAAGCCCTCCTCTGTGGCCTTTGGCTGGCAGCTAACATGAAGGCCCGACAAATCCACGTCAAGTGCGACTCCAAGTTAGTCGTCGGCCAAATCTCCGGGGAGTACGAAGCCAAGGAAGGGAGAATGAAGCAATACAAGGGGGCGGCCAAGGAATTGCTTAAGGTATTTGAGGCACACTCTCTTACTCAAATACCGAGGGCTTAAAACTCTGAGGCCGACATTTTATCAAAGCTCTCGGCAGAATCCCCTGAGCATATCTCAAAAATTGCCAAAGTAGAGGAACTCAGCCTCTCTAGCATACATGCTAGCCCCATCATGCACATACAACAAAGGCAAGGTGACTGGATCTCATACATTGTCACCTTCATCACCACAGGGCAACTGCCCGAGGATGAGGCCCACATAAAGCTGGCAAAGCTGAGGGCTCCCAGCTACACTATCGAGGACAGGAGGCTTTACAAAAGGTCCTACAACGGGACGTTGCTTCGGTGCCTTCATCAAGATGAAGCCGAAGTAGCAATGGAGGAAGTACACAGTGGCACTTGCTCAGCTCACCAGGGACCCTTCTCCATGTCCCGAAGGCTAATAATCCAGGGCTACTTCTGGCCTACGATGGCCCGGGATTGTGCAGATCTTGCCCGGAGGTGTCCCGCATGCCAACACTTCCAGAAAGCCCCCGGCAGGCCAGCGGTCAACTATGCCCCCATCAGCACATCCATACCCTTCGCTCGATGGGGCATAGACCTTGTGGGCCCTCTGGCGAGGGGTACCTCCAACAACAGATACATCATCGTCGCCATCGATTACTTCACCAAATGGGTGGAAGCGGAGCCCCTCGCCAGCATCACTGAGGCCAGGTGCCGTCACTTTGTTCTCAAGAACATCCTCACAAGGTTTGGCGTCCCTCAACAGATCATCTCCGACAATGGGACTCAGTTTGAGGCAGCCCCCTTCTGTGCCCTCCTAGAAGCATGGGGCATCAAACACACCTTCTCATCCGTTGCCTACCCTCAGGGCAACGGTCAGGTGGAGAACGCCAACAGGACCTTGCTTGAGGGCCTAAAGAAAAAGCTGGAGGCCGAAGGGGGCGGTTGGGTGGAAGAGCTCCACAACATCTTATGGGCCTACCGTACCACCCCTCGGCGGACAACTGGAGAGACACCCTTCTCCCTTTGTTACGGATTTGAAGCCAAGGCCCCCACCAAGGTAACTCTTCCAACCCGAAGGGTCACACAGTATGATCCAGAGCCCAACGACGCCAATATGGCCCTCGACCTCCACCTGATTTCAGAACGCCGAGAGCAGGCCTTCATACGCGCGGAAAACTACCGAAGGCAAGTAAAAAGTTACATTGACGCCAAGGTTCGCTCCCGGGAATTCCAAGTGGGGGACTATGTTCTCCGAAGAAGGGAAGCTAGCCAACCAACCGAGGGTGGAAAGATGGCACCAAAGTTTGAGGGCCCCTATATCGTGGCAGCCATCATCAAACCCGGAACTTACAAGCTAAAACGCCCTAACGGGACTGAAGTCCCTAGGCACTGGAATGTACATCACTTAGTTAAATTTTATCAATAACAACAGAGCGGCCAAGCCCTCATAACTAGTGAATGTATTATTTTACGGCCCAAGGCCTAAGAATTCTTAAGAATGAAGGCATTTTGAAGACACCGAGAACACGAAACAAGATTATCACAGGGGCCAAGCCCTCATATCACCCCCAGGCCCAAGGCCTCACCACCATAGAAGAACCCTCGGCACCAAGTGCCGAGGGTAGACAATATTATCACCTACGACAAAGCACCACCTGTCCCCAAAAAAGAAACCCCTCGGCACCTGGTGCCGGGGGGGCACGCCACTAGCAGCTTTCAACAAATGAGAAGAAACACCAAGTGTTTCCACAGAAGACCCCTCGGTACCAAGTACCGAGGGTAGACACCACAGTCCCCTACGACAAGTGAAGAAAAAACACCAACTATTTTTACAGAAGACCCCTCGGTACCAAGTGTCGGGGGCCGTACATCGAAACAAACACCAAGTGTTGTTTCTTAAGCCATACCCCTCGAGGACGCCTATACCGAAGGCGCCACCTCTCGGTGCCGGCAGCACGTAGTGCACCCGGCCATTTGCAACCAGTGTGCAAATGAAAACCCTTCCCTGAAACGCTTTCCGCGTCATCACCCCAAGGGTATGACAGGCATGAGAAATGCCCATGATTCGACTTTCAAAAACGGAACGCTTTCCGCGTCATCACCCCAAGGGTATGACAGGCACGAGAAATGCCCAGGATTCGACTTCCAAACCGAAACGCTCCCCGCGCCACCACGCCAAGGGTGTGGCAGGCCACGGACTATGTCTAGCGCCGAGGGGACGACTTTCAAAAATGAGGCGCTTTCCGCGACATCCCCCAAGGGGAGGCAGGCTACAGACCACCATATCTTGTACCCAGGAAACGACCCTCGATCCCCTCGGAACTCGGAAGGTTAACCCGAGGCGGGAGCTAATGGTGTATTCTGTTACCTCCCGATAGGCCAAGCCTTACCAAGAAACCAAGTTTCTTGAAGCCTTCCCTTCACTACTCAAAAAAAAAAGGGGTGGTGAAGGGGAGTAGACTCGGCGAGAAATCAATGAGTACATCACTCCAACAATACACAAAAACATACCGAGGGCTCCCCACGGGAACACCTTCGGTACCTGGAAGTTCACAAGCACAAAGGATACCATTCACAACAGACATCATCAACAAATGGCTAAGTCCACTCAAGGATTGCCTCCGGCTATACCTAAAACCGAAGGCTCAAATACTGCAAAACATGACAGGCTCAGCCAACAGCAACTCAAAGCGTCCCCGAAGGGTACTATATGACAAAGCTATCGGATGTGGGCAAACCAAATCAAGAATCACCTCTGGCACCTCACTACATGCCGAGGGGACATAACAAACAACCGAAGGCTGCTATGCCACAGGCCAACATCACAAGGCAAAGGAAACTATCCTAAACCTACAACGCCTACAACCGAAGGTGTAATACCCGAGATTAATATAAGAGGATTAATAGTACTACTCATACCAACAGAGGTGCATCTCCTTTTAAGGGAGCTCATCATCCAAGAACTCTAAAGTTAAGCGTGCTTGCACGGGAGTAGTCTTGGGATGGGTGACCCCCTGAGAAGTTTCTCAGGGCGCGCACGAGTGAGGACAAAGTGCGCGGAAAAGGCTAGTGGCGGTTTGTGAGGACAGTACTATTGGTCTAGAGTAGCTATCTCGGGTCCTGCGAGGCCGGGGTGTTACAAATGGTATCAGAGCAACCCTGCGACAGTGTACTGACCCGTTAGATATCGGGCGGGCATTTAGCGGGGCAAGATTCTGGGGTTTGATTGAGATTGTTAAGGGCGCAACGAGGACGTTGCGATCCTAAGTGGGGGTGATTGTAATACCCGAGATTAATATAAGAGGATTAATAGTACTACTCATACCAACAGAGGTGCATCTCCTTTTAAGGGAGCTCATCATCCAAGAACTCTAAAGTTAAGCGTGCTTGCACGGGAGTAGTCTTGGGATGGGTGACCCCATGGGAAGTTTCTCAGGGCGCGCACGAGTGAGGACAAAGTGCGCGGAAAAGGCTAGTGGCGGTTTGTGAGGACAGTACTATTGGTCTAGAGTAGCTATCTCGGGTCCTGCGAGGCCGGGGTGTTACAGAAGGGTCCCCCCCGAAGGCCAGCATCAGGAAATACTTAAAAAATCTAAGTCCTAAATGCTTTGCCCCTCGTGGAGCCACCAGTCAGCCGAGGGCATACCTCAAACAAGGTCCTCACAATCACCCGAGGGATCCTACTTCATACGTACTACACTTAGAAAAATTTTCTAAGTCCTACATATTTGGACCCTCGGTCAAATCTCCATGCTGCCCGAGGGGCCATACGGTTGAAGGCTTGATGAAGCTATACTTAGAAAAATTTTCTAAGTCCTACATATTTTGGCCCTCAGTCAAATCTCCATGCTGCCCGAGCGGCCATGCGGTTGAAGATCTGGTGAAGCTACACTTAGAAAAATATTCTAAGTCCTAACTATTCCTGGGCCCTCGGTCATGCGTCCAATCAGCGAGGGGTATCCACGTACCGAAGGCTACACAATATCCAAACACTTAGAGATTTTCTAAGTCCTAAACATCTCGCCTCCGGTCATCTCATGAAGGCTACATAGAACCGGAGGGAAGGATCAGCCGGGGGCCAACAGATGAACAAACACTTAGAAATATTTCTAAGTCCTGAACATTGTGCCCTCGGTGAAAGGTTCAACTGACTAAAGATTACTAGTACCCGAGGGCTACAAGAAGCACTACACTTGGAAGAATATATTCTAAGTCCTAAACATACATTCAGAAAAGCGAAGACATACATTCAAAAGAAAACGACGGCATACATTCGAGAAGAAATGAATTAAAGAGGACAAGTCACATACACAAAGCCCGAAGGCAATCATTCATTCGTCAAAAAGAGGAAATTCAAATGTATATGTTACAATATAGCCGAGGCCGAGAGTACACAAACATTACAAACAAAAAGGAAAAGTGTTCAAACAGCTATCAACTACAAGTGTTTTCTTCAAGCTGCTGCCTCCTCGGCGGGCTTCGAGGTGACCTCCTCCCTGATGGCGTCCTCGGTATCACCATCGCCGGATCCCCCCATCATCATGGAGTCATGGATCACAGGCCTCTCTTCGCCCGGGGGGAGGGGGTTTCTCACATCTGACTGCAAAGCAGGAAGGCCGTACGCCGAGGGGTCGAATTCCTCGAGAGGGACTTTGAAGTGCCTGGCGAGCCTCCGGTACACCAGATGCTGGGTGAAGAACTCGCCCCCTGGTAATAGCTGTCTCCCCTTTCTGCCATCCAGTCGGCTCCGGGGCCCTTCACCCAGTCATCAACCGAAGACTCCACGACCGAGGCCACCCACTGCCGCCTGTCTTCGGTTTTCCAGCCCTCGGCCACGAAGGCGGCAACAACTTCTTCCCGGGCTTTGGCGATGGCCTCGGCCTTAGCAATCTCCGCCTCCTCAGCGGCTTTCTTGGCTTCCCTCTCGGCCTCAAGCCTGGCTTCCTCCGCTGCAGCTTTGCCCTCGGCAGCTTTCCGGAGATCTTCCTCCAGCATGGCCATCTGCTTTACGGCCTCGGAGTTCTTCAGGATGAGCTCCTTCATCTCTCGGTCCTGCTCCGCCTTCCGAAGGCGCCATTGCTCAAGCCTCTGTGCGTGCTCCCCGAGGGCTACGCAAGCCTGATAAACGACGGGAGGAGGGGTCAGATTAACATGGAAAGAGCATTAAAAGTTAAACGCAAAACCTAAGGGAGCAAACTTACAGTTAATGAAGACCGAAGGATCCTGTTCTCGAGGGCCTCGTCATCATATGTGGAGAGGGCAACCTTGTCCATTACCGAGGTCATCCCCCTCAGAAAAGCTTTCGGCTCCGCTGAGCCGTGTAGGACAGAAGCCCTCGGGGCCAAAGAGAGCTGCAGGATCTCCCGAGGGGGGCTTCTCAAGGGAGGACTGGTTTGGGCTGTCGTCGCAGCATCAACTGGGGGGTCCGGAGAGGGGCGATCCTCAATGATCACCAAGGGGGCATTGTGGCCGACAGTGCCCCCTGTCCCCCTCTGCTTCTTAGCCGGGGGCTCAACCGCCTTGCTCCCCGTTTTCTTTTTTGTGGCCCCCTCCGCCACACCGACGTCTCCCTCCGCAGCAGAGAGCTCCGGAGCCTCTTTTTGGAAGAAGGCTCCCACAGGCGGTTGGACCGAAGGGTCCTTCTTCTGGGCTTGGGTCTTGCCCTTCTTCTTCTTCAGAGCGAAGAGTTTACCAGCATCCATGTTAACACCTGCCAACAAAAACAAAGGGGTTAGACCGAAGGAGAAAAGAGCAAAAAAAAACAAAAGGGGGAAAAATCCTAGGTACAAAAAAAGGAAGCCCTCGGAGACTACCTCCTACCAGCACAGGATACTTCGCGTCTGTTTCGCCGAGGAAGCGATATCTGCGGAAGCCGAGGGCGAATAGCTCCTTGTCAGCTGTGAAGTCCTTAATGGACACTTGCTTCGTGCGACCCTCCGGGATCTTGGCTATTATCAAGCCATCCTTCTCCAGAGCAGCACTTCCGACCTTCGGATGCCGACAGAAGCGATCCCTAAGTTCCATCGAAAAGGGGCTCTCGGCAATCCTAACGTAGCACCACCGCTCCTTCCAGCCTTTGTTGGACGAGGGCGCTTCTGTGAATAGTTTCCACCGAGCCACCTGTTGCAGATTGGCGAATCCCTCGGCGTTCGCGTGACCCCCTCGGCAGAGGTTGAAGCTCTGGAAAAACAAGTCCAGACTGGGGGTCACCCCTCGGGCTCGGCAGAGGTTCAGGAAGCCCACCACGTAGGAGTGGCTGTTAGGCGTCAACTGGAAAGGGACCAAGCCCACATACCGGAGATATTCCCGAAGGAATGGGTGCAGGGGGAACCGGAGCCCCATTGACACCGACAGGATGTGCACAACGATGCAACCCTCGGGAGCCCGGGAAAGCACATCATCAGGGCCCGGTGCCACCACCACAGCCGAGGGCCCCACGTGCAGCTAAGTCACGTACATATCTTCCCTATCAGCCTTCGACCCTATCTCCAGGGCAGCAGTATTCAGCCAGGAGTACCCCTCGAGCACATCTATGGGCTTCCCCTGATCAGCAGCAACACATTTCTTCTTAGGAGCAGTTTTCTTCTTCTCCGATTTTTTCCCGGGGGCCACTCTTATCGGCGTCGAGTTGAGGGGCCGAGAGCTCCCTGCCTCACCAGCACCCCGAGGGGGAAGGACGGCCACTGTCACCTTCATCCTCTCCTTTTCTTCCTCCTCCTCTGCAACTTGTACGGCGAGGGCAAGCTCTTCATCCTCCGCCTCTTGCTCGAAGCCCTCAGCTTCAACTTCGGACACCAACTCCTTCTGCACTTCCACCGCCATCGCGACATCCTCCTGGGCCGAGGTTTGCTCACTTGAGGACCCCGCGTCCGAGAAGCTCTCCTCTTCCATCGAGGGATCCCTCGATATGTCCTGGGAATCGCTTTGAGAGGACATCTTTCCACTGGTTCGAGGGCTCGAAAACACTAAGTATTCTAGGTTACAGTCCTAGATCTAAGGCCGCTACAGCTAGCTAAGGAGGGAGAAGAACATATGGGGGAACTGACCTTAAAGCGGGAGTTAGATCGAGGGCAGTGTTTCTCTCTCTAGAAAAAATCCGGCAGAGCTTCGCTAACAAGTAATCGCACAGGGAGAGTGGTGTCCGGCCATGGGGTATTTATAGGCGCTGGGATCCGGGCTTGGGCCTGGAAACCGAGCCTCCGGTTGGACTGCCATCATTACGAACCGTGGCTTCGCCCAATCGGTGACGCCCGCCCACGGGCGGCCAACGAGCACGCACCACGTGGCAACCCCCCCCCCCCCCAACGGCTATATCCTGACGTTACATATTCCAACGGCTATATTTCCAACGGCTATATTCTGGGAGCCCCTGGGCTTTTTGCTTCACTCCACTTCATCAAGAAGAGCCCCCGGATACACTTACCCGGAGACACTCCCGGTTTGTGCCCCACACACTACATAACAGATGTCTTCGGGATCACTCTTTCAGAAGCCCAAGGCTTCATATCAGGCCACCCCTCGGGGATCCCCCCTCAGCACTTTGAGGGCCGGGTAGCCCCCGGGGAGTATGCCTCATTGACGGATAGCCTACGGCACACAGGTAATGGGAGCCCTCAGATATCCTCATCACCAACTAATCAACAAGCAGGGGACACCCCGGTAACAATTCAACTACTACCCTCATTCATTACGCCCTCGATCCCCAGATTGAGGGACTCCCCTTCGGCACCTCCCAGGGGATCAAAAGCAAGCCTTCGGCTAATCAACACATGAGCCCTCAGAACAGGGAAAGCCTTCGGCATCATCATTATTCTCCATTTCGAACCAAGGTTTCACATTTTCGATTCATCGTTGGGGGAACTCGGTGCACTCTTTTTCCCTCATTAGGATTTTTTCCCACAGGGTTTTTTCCTAATGAGGTTTTTAACGAGGCATCCCCCCAAAATGAAACGAAAAGCGTCAGCCTTCGGCCCAGAACAACAACGCAACTACTCTACTCCTTTTCACCACTTTGCAAGTGCCTCAAGGAGTGGGGGACTGGGGAACCCCCTCGGGAAAAAATCACAAAAATCACAAACATGACCCCCCTCAAGTCCCGACATGTGGGTAACTGAGGGACTGCCCTCGGCAGAATAAACGAACAGCAAACTACCCACAACTCTACAAAACTACAACGGAACAACGGCAGAGGACAAACACAACTACTCCTTTTACCTCAAGTACCTTTCGGCAAAAGGAGTGAGGGACTCCTGATGGAGTATATGGCCCGGGAACCCCCGGCCCACAGACTCCAACTACTCCATCAAGGCCCAAATCACGGCGCCCAAGATACCAAGCAGCCCACAGATGTGCACCAGGGGTGCCTTCGGCCCCTTAGCCGAAGGCTCTAACTCTCACAGGAAGGCCAAGACAGCAAAACAAAGTTACTCGGGAAAACGGCGAAAATCAGTAGCCCTCGGCACCAAGGGGGTCCCCGGTACTCAGAGCCCTCGGCTAGTCCTCTACAGCCGGGGGCACCTTTCCCGACATGATATCCGCGCCACATGCGTACAGATTACCGTACCCTGTACAACGTCCCATCCAACAGCCACATTAAATGCGGCCACATGCGGTTGCCAGCGCCAACCAGTTGAGGTGACCTCTCGGCCAATAGACGTTTGACACGTGTCCCTGTCTGGCATTTATTGCTACTATAAATAGCACCCCATTTCCCCATTTGTAACCAAGTCACAAGTCATAATACACACACTGCATACTTTCTAATATACTTTCTCTCTCTACTTATTTGCTCTGACTTCTCTCTTGTTATTCCCCGTAATAACCCCTCGGATAAGCTATCCTGGGTACACTATCCATCAGACAGTATTTCAAACATGAACAACGATCTTGAAAAGCAACAAATCAATAACGAAGCTTAGTATTTGTACCTATATAAATATTAGTATTTGTACTTATAAAACTCCGTGATATATATTATACTTTTTATCATTTTTATTTTGATTGGTAATTAGAGAGCAAGAACTAGCAAAATTAGTTTAACTCAAAAATATTATGACAAAAGGTATAATTACGCTTAAAGAGAAATGGAAATCAAAAGCTCTACTTGTTTGATGTTAAGGGCTACAGTTCTTCACATGGAAGACTAAGGATTGATTCCCAACTCCAATCATTTTCCAATTTAGAACCGGATATTTACTCTTTTCTGAACCCAATCCAGATTGGCCCAAGCAGGACGCACTTCACAAATAGAACCGGCTTGGGCTAAGGGCCCATGACACGCTTCACAAATAGCACCGGGTTGGACCGCTGAGTAACGTGATTTGATAAAAGAATTTTATTGAGTCTATGTATAGTACTATGTTATTAAAAATTGGAGGCCCTCTAGGATTGGAGGCCCTGTGCAAGTGCACTAGTTGCACTTGGGCTGGGCCGGGCCTGAATTCCTTAATTACCTTAAGGGAGGTGGCCGACGTCTCCGGTCTACACCAATGGAGAGGAAGCAGATTTGACTATTTGAGGTAGCAGAAAAACTGAGGCTGCAGCGTGGGTGGTGGGGGATCTGGAAGGAGCTTCTGGTCTACGCATCCAGTGTTCTTCAAGCCTGCCTGTTGGCTTTTTCCTAGGGCTAATTTTGATATGGTTGATAAATTTCGATTTATTTTTATTTAATTAAATGACTGTGAATAGAATTACTCTCGTCACAAAGCCAGGTGAGAATGAAAGGCCCGTATAAGTTTGGGCTTCAAGGTTTTCACTATTCAGTGAGGAAATTGCGAAAAATTCAAAATTGGACAGAGAAATCAGAAAAGGTAGCATTATTGTGTTAGCCAGCGTCGCTAGCTATTTTCCTTTAATTTCATCGGGTGGAACCTTTGTGTGTGTTTAACTGAGGTCAATCATGCTTTCTTTGTTTCCATTACTTGATTTACACCATTTGTTTGCTTGGTTTGTATGATTTCAGTTGTGAGTGTGCTTTATAAGTAATTGAGTTTTCATATTAAAAGTGTTAATTAAATTTATATGTAAATTTGTACGATAGTATTTTATATGCAATCGGTATTGTATGGGTTTACCTTATCTGACATCTCTAATATCATCGTCTAATCGCTAACCGTCGATTGTCAAATAAGTTCAAAATATGAATGAAACTGAATTGAGTACCTTCAAGAATAAATCAGAACCTATAAATAAAAAGCTCCTTAATTAAAATAATTTTTTTTTGATATTATCAAACAATAAACTAGTAGATTTGTCTTCACATCTTGTACAATTCTATATTTATGTGGTGTTACATTTACAATCTGGATATGCCATATATCTTACGCTAATTCATCTGTCTAAGGTTTTCTATTTTGAAGCAAAAGCTTTTTTTCCATTTTCCCTTTTAGAGTTTGAAGATCATTATGACATTTTTCTTACCGGTTCAACATCATATTAATATATGAAAAATTTCTACTAATATTATTTCTAGAAAAGTAGTGGATAAAATGTAATTTGGCAAATTACAATTGCATTCAAAGTTACAATGATATAAACTTTGAACATATCGACTAGTAGTTACTCTATCACGTTTTTATCTATAATTTTTTTTATTAGTAATATTTTAGAATAATACTCTTCATGTTTTGTTTTATCCTAAAACTTGGGTTTCCAATGTTGGTTCTCTGACTAGTAAAAAAGATGAATTGTGCTAGAGGTACTCCAAAATGTACCCCATTTTTACCCCACACCCTAATGTGTAGCCATAAATGGAGAAATTCATTTAAGTGGTGCGCCACTTAAATAAATTGCCACATTTATGGCCACACATTAGAGCATCTCCAATGCTACAATGTGCATGGTTCACATGTGACATGAGATAGATATGCACAAAAGATTGGTTTTATAACATTTCTCTCTCCGTCTTTCCACTGTCTTATGCGTTTTTGGTAAGTTTTTCCCTTCAATGTCAACCACAATGTCTACATCTAGACATTGTGCTTGACATTGTGAAGAAAAACTTACCAAAATGATATAAGATCCTTCAAATAAGAAGGGAGATATTCTATTTATTATTTTTTCATTGACTATCTTTCATGTCATGTATGCACCGTTAACATTTTAGCATTGAAGATGCTTTTAGGGCGTGAGGGTAAAAATGTGGTACACTTACCTTTTCTGAATCGGTGGCTAGCGCCATCGGACCAGGTGGCGTGGTCAACTCAAGTACACGCAGCTTATGAATCCGTTCCACAACATAATTAAAGTTCATTTATAACGAAATTAAGTTAAAATTCTCTTAAATCACAAAAAAAGTCGAAAATGATCTAACAGACCCCCAAACGAAATGGATTAATGGATTATATATATAGACCTCAAATTCTTTGTGATGAAAACGAATTTCTTATCTGTTAGCATTTTTTGCTTACAAACTTATGCCGACTGTACAGCTGGTGCATTCTAAGTATTCAATTCAGTAAATTGACGATCCAATTCTGAGTACACCTCTCGGAGCAAGACACGATGCCCAACATTTGGGATCCTATGATCAAAATTTAAAGAGAGAATTATCAAATAAACCATCGAACTTTCATAAAAAGTGCAAATAAGTCTTTTTATAGGAGGCTCTATCCGGGTCTCGCCATTTGAGACGGTTTCCGGTGGAATTTTTTGAGCATCTTCTTCATTAAGTCTAGTTTACTCATAGCAAATTTCAGTTAAAAATTAAATCGGAAACACAGTCAAATAAATTTTTGAAGATAACTTCGCAATTAGGCAGCGCATTATATTTCAGAAAATCATTTGACTGCCTTTTCGATTGAATTTTTAGTTGAAATTTGGTACGGGTAAACTAGACTTAATGAAGAAGATGCTCAAAAACTTTCATCAAAAAATTCCACCGGGCAAAGCCTCATGTAAAAGGGTTTATTTGCACTTTTTATGAAAATTCGAGGGCTTATTTGATAATTCTCCCAAATTTAAATTGTTAAAGATCTTGAGATCCACATGTTGAAGATCTAGTCATCCACATTACTGCCAGTGCCTATACCGTACGACCGGTATACGGTGAGCACCGTATACCGGTACGGTTTTATATTTTTTTTCCTTTTGTTTTTAAAAAATAGTAATAACTTTTTTATTTTTGATCCGATTTTTATAAAATTTATATCAACATGTTTTATTATTCATGATCTTTCAAATGAGACCAATATGGCCTATGTAATTTTAACATATTAACATTTGCGTGTAAAATATGTAACTTTACGTGTTAAAATATGTAACTCACGTTCAGTCAGGCCAAATGCAACTCGTGTGTATAAATATGCATCTCTACGTGTAACAATATGTAACTTTACGTAAAAAATATGTAACTCGCGTTCAGACAGGTCAAATGCAACTCGTGTGTATAAATATGTAACTCGCGTGTATAAATATGTAATTTTACGAGTAAAAATATGTAACTTTACGTGTAAATATATGTAAGTCGCGTTCAGGCATGTCAAATGCAACTCGTGTTTATATATATGTAACTCGCTTTTAAAAAGATGTAACTTGCTTATAAAAAGATGTAACTTGTTTATAAAAAGATGTAACTCGCTCATAAAAAGATGCAACTCAATGTATTATCAAATGTAACTGAGGCCACTGATCCACTCCCAAACAGATTCGATCTTCTATTTCACAAACCTATCATCTCCCAAACAGATTCGATTTTCCTTATAATCCAATACTTATTAATATAATAGTTCGATAATTTCTTAAAATTACATAAGCAATATTGGTCTCATTTGAAAGATCATGAAAAATAAAAAATGTTGATATAAATTTTATAAAAATCGGATCAAAAATAAAAAAGTTATTATCATTTTTTAACAACAAAAGCAAAAAAAAAGGGACAAGCTGCGTCGTTTTGCAACCGGACGCACCATCCTCATGGTGCGCCGGTTGCACGGTATAATTTGTGCCCATTACTGCATGACTAGATGTTGAAGGTAGATAAAGGAGCTGAGAGCGGTCAATTTCTTGGTTGATGAAACTTTGTTCTGATCATTAGTGGCATGAATACAACAAGAGCAGATGTCACATTGCTAAATTGCTATATATGGGACCATCAATAAATAATGACCCTTTTAGCATTTAGCTTTATTTTATTGAACTAGTTAAGTGGTTTTGGATTGTTGAGGCCAATTCTCAAATACGTGTTTCTATAAATTTGTTAATTTGTATGGATGAAATAGCAAATTAGCAACAGATATAAATAGTGGGAAAACCAGAGGTGATCAGGCGTGTCTTATATATTTTGTATCACGCACATTTGTTTGAGTTAAATTTGATTGAATAGTTGATCAACTATTATTAGCATCAACAAAAAAATTTAATACTTGAACTTTGTATTTGCACTAAGGTGAACTTTACAAATTTAGTTTTCACCATTACACTTTTTCTATAATGGGTTCACCTAAACGGGCCGTGATTATAACATGATATAGCCAATTTCATGCTGGACGGCTGGACCAACCCATCACTCCATCGGGTACAAGGCCCCAACTTAGCCCAAGAAGGAATTAGTCTTAGAATGTTTTTACTTTGACCGAAATTTTCTAGTCTAATTTGATGCGGTCTGATCTTTGATCTGATCTAATTTGTCCAGGTTAGGCTGGACATAAGACCTTGAGCTTGGGCGGAGTTCTAGCGAGGTCGCGCTCTTCCTGTGGCTTATGTGACAGGCTATCATTCGAGCATAGCTATCTGGCACCAGGCAGGAATAACGAAAAAAACGTGGACCTATAGGAATCAATCATTGCACAACGGCCAAGACGTTACATGACTCTCATGTAATTAATAGCATTTAATGTATCAGTTTCTCTTAGAATACTAGTTCCTAAGGTCTACAAATACTTCCTCTACTCGTCCTATCAAAGGCTTTACGCTGCCTATGTTGGAATAAATCCATGAATACTTTAATCTTCATATTGAAATTATCTGGAGAATTAACTGAGCGGAAGCGTACCTGACTCCATGGGAGATGGCCTTTAGAGATCCGGGAGACGGAGGCTAGGGTTTGTGTCTTCTAGTTGATACACACCCTCGGGATTATCTCTCTAGCGATGGGATGCAGAAAGACAGAATGACGTGTACAACTAGGGACCATAACCCCTTATTTATAGAGTGCTTAACCCTAATCAGCCCATCATTGATTAGGTCAAGCCCATGGGTCTCTACACATTTGGGCCCTATACCTTATTAGATAACTTATTAGCCTACTTAAATTAATATCCATAGGACCACTAATTTTTGGGCCTAAATATAAGATAGCATATAACTTAAAATTAAACCCGATAAATAATATATTGTGAATATTACATGTAGTATAAGTCCAATAATCTAACAGCTTATATTTCATCTGCTTTCGTAGATATAACTCTCGTAGTTGGATTAAACTCCATCACATCATATTCTCGATGTCATGTCCACTGAAAGTATCCAATCTAACTGTTTGTTTTTCGTTTTTCAAACTCAATAACCCTTTCTTAGTATGGGTTCATACGATTCGCCCACAAACTACTCAAGTCTAGCTTTGTGTGTTCTTATCTACGTGGATGACTAATTAATAGTCAACACCAATTCTATTTTTTTTAATTGAGATGTCGGGGCTTACACTCTTATAATTCTAAATTGTATTAACTGTCATTCAAAGCCTCCAGACAGATAAATCTAGATTTGATTAGAGTCATTTTTCGTTTGTATTGGTTCTAAAGTGTAAACGACAAATTCAATAGGACTTATATCACGCGCCCCTTCCAGACTGCTTCTCCCACCACACGAACCC